GGAGTGGGGCACGGATGCCAGAAAGGAAGGAGATATACTTCTGAGGAAGGCAGAAAGAGGAAGCATGACTGGACACATTTCTCCATTCTCTCATTCCAAAAAAATTGCCAAGTGACTACCACAGATGAGTACTGGGGGCTTGGTGAATACACACATGCTTTGCTCACTGTCATGGAGCCAGAAGCCCAAAGGATAAGGTTTATGCTGTATTTTGAAGCCTGGATTACATGCTGCAGTCTATCTGAAAAGAGAATGAAGGAGTCAGGACCGGGCAGACTATCTATCACAAGGAAGAAACTGCAGAAGCAAGTCGGATGCTCCCAAGAGGAAGACAGAATAGAGATGAGGACCAAAGGGAGCCATTTCCCTATTGCATGGGCACAGATGGGTTGGAAACCAAATGCAGACAGGTCCTCTCCTTCAGTGCTCTTGGTCACGAGAGTGACCAGGTAAAGAGTATGGATGACTCATGGACACCTATCCTCACTACAGGAAAAACAACTCAGAGGACATTCCCAGTGGGAGTGGGCCAGGAGTGTCAGCTTCCACTCTAGGGAGAGGAGGACGTTGTGATCAGAGATGAGTCCACATGGGAGAAAGACGGGAGGAGTGGAAAAGGCCTTGTATTGGAGCCAGAGGAGAGAGGAGCAGATCTGAAGAGTGCTGAGGTCTGGGCCCCAAAGAGGCTCGGGGTAGCCTCTGTCCACCTCTCTTGCCACAATTAATCTCCTTTCAGGATTTTTCTCTTCTGTGACCACGCAATTTTCTTTTTCCCATCCTAAGTCCCAGGTCAATTAAGGCTCCCTCCATGGAATGCTTGTTCTAGAACTTCTGCTCTGACTTTTAGGCCCAAAGGTGAAAAGCAAAGGAGAGCAACCGAGTGGGATGGATTGCGTGTGCTGTTGATTGTCTCGCTTAAGACTCCTTAACTTCTGAGGCTTCAAGAGAAGTGGTAACATTCTGTGTAGAGACACAGACACACATGCTGCCAGGGTGTAAGGAGGCTGTGGAGCCTGGCCATGAACCACTGCCATTTGTTTACAGCCCAGCGCCAGCTGTGCAAAGGAGAGGGATCTCTGTGGGCTTGGAGGTCCCACAGGGCTGGGTTTGAGTCTTTTACAAATCTTTTGCTTTGGAGCAGCTAGTTCAGACACATAGTTTAAACTCAGTTTCCTTCTCTGTGAAAAAGAGAGAAAAAGCACTTGCCCCATAGGGCTGTTATGAGGATTAGACTAGACAACACAGGATGAAAATCAGGACAATGTCTGGCCACAGTGGGCAGCCAGTGAAGGGGGTTCTCTTATCCAGCATCCTTTTTGATCAGGCTGTTCTCTCATTCAAAGCCCTTCAGTTCCCTGTGCCCTCCCACATTTACTCCACTGCCCATCAAAGTCAAAATCCTTTAGCCTGTGTTATAGATAACCTGTAATCCCAGGGCACCTAGCTCATCCTTCCGTCCACCCCACTATTCCTCTACATGTGCCGGGCCACCCACTCTTTCTTGATATATCCCACGCCCCACCAGGGTCCGGTCTGAGTTGCTGCTCCCTGCTCTTCTCATCATTCCTCAAGGCCCAGAGAAAGACCTGCCACCTCCTCCAAGCCCAGTTCCCATTCCCTTCACCACCACAGGCTTCTCTCTGTGCTGTGTGTCCCCAGATGGACTGCAGCTCTTTCAGGGCAAGCAACAATTCATCTTCCTCCTTGTTTGCAACTTCCAAAGCACACATGGGAGCGGGCATGGTTATTTGGTGCCCATGCAGAGCAGAGGGCAGGCAGCACAGAGTTGCTGGAGTGGACAGAAACATGTCTTCCTCATAAATGCAAGGATCTCTTGCCTTTGGAAGGTGCAGGCTTTCAACTTGGTTTTCCTTCTGGGCAAGGGGCTGCTCTGTACCCTCCCCTACTTTCTCACACAGTCCATCCATTGCACTGGCCACTCTCTGGTGGAGTGACGGCTGGAAGCTTGCTGTGCTATCCCGCAGACCCGCCCGTGTGACTGTGGATATCATCAAACTGACCAGCTTTCCAGAAGATGATCCTGGCCTATGTGGACACTCAACCAGTGTTCCTTCCCTCTTTAGCCTCATTAGCTTCAAGTTTTCACTGCTTGAGCTGAGAGGAAGGTTAATGGTGAGCACACAGCAAAGTTCAGCATCCCACCCATATCTGCAGGAGATACAATTCAAGACCCCCCCAGTGACACTGGAAAGGATAGAGAGAACCAACCCCTCTATGTGCTGTATTATTTTTCCTATACATGCATATCTATAATAAAGCTTAATTTATAAATTAGGCACAACAAGAATGATAACAATAAAACAGAACAATTATAAGTACGTACTGTAATTAAGCATTTTTAAAACTTATGGATCATTTATTTCTTGACTTTTCTATTTATTATTTTTAGACCACAGTTGACCACAGGCAAATGAAACAGCAAAAGGGGAAACCACAGATACGGGACAGACACTGCAAGGATTTCAGTGAGAATGGGGAGTACAGATTGGAGCTCCAAGGGCTCAGATGTGGACAGAGCAATCTAGGTCCAGTGCAGCCCAGGCTGATGGGATGGGAAGAGGGTGGATAGAGAGCAACCCTGTGGAAGAATGTGCCTGTGTAGGTGACTGGAGAACTGGCAAGGGGCCAAGAGAGACTGTGCCTCCTCCAGCCTGGCAGTCCTGGCCAAGGTCTGACAGAAGCAGGGAGGAATGTGAAAAAGAAAACAAGACAAACTTTGCCACCTCTGGCTGGTCAGGAGAAACTGGTGCTGGAAAAGAATAACCCACAGTCCCCAAGTTCTCTTGCCTTCTCCCCACCCACTCAGGGGCAGCCCAGCATGCTCCAGACCACAAGGCTCCTTTCCCCTCTCTTGTCTCTGCCACTCCCCTCCCTGTCCCAGGGCCCCCTCCTTCTCCTTTTCCTAGATGGGGCCTGAGAGTCTAGGGAGGGGCATGCAGGAGGTGCTGACATCCAGAAAGAGCAACATCACTTTACAACGCATCCCTGTCTCAGATTCGTGTCTGCTGCTCTGCAAAGGCAGGATGGGTGCAAAGCAGAGTCTTTCAGGGTGGGTTGTGGGCAAACCATCCTATTTGTTTTCCCTTGAAGACAGGATGCAAACAGGAGCAGCTGTGGGGCTTCATTTGCTACTCTGACTGTGCAGGGATGGGGGATGTTATACCTGTGTCCCATTTATTCTTTCTTCCAAAGCCAGTATTATATAAAATATCCCCATTTTATAGATGAGGAAACTTGAAGTACAGAAAGGTTGGATGAGTTACCTAAAGCTGGAGGATTAGCTGGACTTAAACCCATGCCATCCGTATGCTAAAGGCAAGGTTTCCATTTGTTTTGTTTTATGGCTGTATCATTTTCTTCAAAGGTTGATGGCCTCTCTCTGCACAGCTCCTATGGACCTTGTGCCTTATGCTCCCATTCTAGGTACCAGCAGGAAGTCAACGGTTTAACTAGATGGTGGTCAGTGGTTTCACGTGGCTATTTACATTTACATTAATACAAGCTAAGTAAAATAAAAAACCCAGGTCTGCAATGGATTATACTAGTCCCATTTTAAGGACTCATAGCCCTTAAAATTGATTGGTGGCTTCAGTAATGGACAGCACAGACATGGGACATCTCCATCATCTCATTGGTGGAGTTTGGGGCAGGGCAGGAGACAGAGAGAACAGGAGAGACTAAGCCAAGGGCTCCAGGATAGAAATACCTTTGGGAGGAGGGGGGCCGTTCTGGGAGGGAGGGGAGGAGGGCTCCTTTGGGCTGGCTGGCTAAGGAGAGACTCCAGGGCCCCTCCCTCCGATACTGGTACTCTCTGCAATACCAGTGAGCAATAGCCAGGGCAGGGCTGGGCCAGAGCAGGAGGAGGGACAGCCACCAAGGAGAAACCACTACCCTCTTGAAAGATCCCAGGGCTCTGAACCTCTGTCCTTCAGGGACCCAGCAGCCTGCCTGGCCTTCCTTTATCCGACTCAGACAGGACCCACTGCTGCTTCCTGTTCGCCCATCCAGGCCAGAGAGCCAGCTAATGGGCTGTCCGGCCACCACCTTTCCAATTAACCTCATTAGTCTCTTGCTCACCCTCCTGAGTCTGGGTCACCACTGTGGGGGAGGGGCTATGAGTGGCCTGTGAGTAACTGAGGCCCAGCTATGACAGGGGTCCCCAGCCCAGGCCTCTCCTTGGGCCAAGCCTTGACTCCCAGGGCCCCTCATGCTGTCCCTGTTGCGCCCTGGAAGAGAGTTGTCAGGGGGCTGGTTTTCAGAACGTGATGTCCATGGAGAGGGTTCATCCACTGATAGGACATGTGATAGGTGTGTGGCACGCTGGTGAATGGAAGTGGCAAAAGGTGAGATGAAAGGGTGGGGGCAGATCTTCGCATCTGAAAGAGGAAAATAGAAGATGAGTGACGGTATCTGCCAAGGTGGGAAGTGAAGGAAACAGGCAAATCCAGACCTCAATGGGAACCTTGGTGGGGTTGTACCATGCAATGGGATGGGGTGAGGTGGGAGTTGGAGCAGCTGCTAGGCACTTCCCAAGGATGGGAAAGAAAGGTGAAATGCCCACACCTTGTCTTCAAGTGGAGGGAAGATAAGAGGATGGGACAGACCAATCCTGGGAAGCAGGAAGGAAAGGAGTCAAGCAGCTGAGTCCCAGGGTGAGAGTGGATGACCCCGAGAGAGTGGCCCTGGTAGAGCGCTTGGTTCTGGGTTAGGCAATGAGGAACCAGGGGAGGCCAGCCAAGGCAGGATCTAGGGCCCTGTGGCTGTGGATCCCCCACACTTCAGCTACCACTGCTGCTGAGTAGGCAGACGTGACAGCTGATTGCTTCAGCTCCTCCCGCCACACCAACTTCCCCAAGGCACCCACCCCCTCCGCCCCTCCTCCCTCCCCACAGTGACTCCTGCCCAGGGAATGTCCAGCCCTGGCATAAAGGCCCTGGTGTCCACGAGCTGCTGTCAGTCAGGAGACTGCACCATCCACAATGGGCTCCTCTCGGGCACCCTGCATGGGGCGTGTGGGAGGGCAAGGGATGATGGCATTGCTGCTGGCCAGTCTTTTCCTGCAAGGTAGGAGTCTGGGGGCCTTAGGGGTGGGAAGATGGGAAGGGGGAGAAGGGATGCTGACCCCAAGAAAGGGGATGTTGGGGGGAGAGTCCAGAAGAAGACCCAGCAAGGGAGAAGGGCAGGGGCTCTGAATCTGATCTTTGAGTCTAGGGGCTACTCCTCACTGCCTTGTCACTTCAGGCAGCTTACTTAACTTTATTCTTAAAGTCTTCTAAATTAAAAATTATTTTTGTTCTCACAAATGCTTGCCAAGCATTCTACCCCTGAGCTAAGCTCCCAGCCCCTACTTAAACTTTCTGTGCTTAATAAAATGGGCTTAATAACACCCATGTGTGTCAAATTAAATAATGCACATGACATGCTTTGGAAGTTCTAGAGGGTTGTATAAATATTGGTTGTTGTCATTATTATTACGGAAGTGCTAGAAGGGTGAAGATTGAATATTTCATAGGAATAATAATTGCTAACAATTTTAGAGTCCTGTTACATGTGCCGGACACTGTCCTAAACACTTTAAATACATTAGCAGTTTTGATCATTGCAAGAATTGTATGAGACAGCCGGGCACCGGTGGCTCACACCTGTAATCCTAGCTATTCAGGAGGCAGAGATCAGGGGGATCGAGGTTCAAAGCCAGCCTGGACAAATAGTTTGCAAGACCCTATCTCAAAAACAACCATCACAAAAAGGGGCTAGCAGAGTGACTTAAGGTGTAGGCCCTGAGTTCAAATCCCAGTACCACAGAAAAAAAAAACAAAGATGAATTGTATCAGAGAAGATTTGTTATTCCCACTCTACAGAAGAGGATACTGAGGTTCAGAGAGGTTCGAAAACTGTCTCAAGATTACAGTTAGAAGCAGGAGAGCCAGGATTCAAACCTCAGGCTGGGAAGGTCTGTTGTCCATCTGCAGAGCAGAGAAGGGGCAGTGGCAGGTCTGTTGGCCACCTTCAGAGGAGTGAAGGAGCAGTGGCGGAGCTGGGTTTAGTGTGGAGGTACATATGGAGGATTTCTTTGTGAGGAGATAGGACGTCTCAGATTTTGGAGGTCTGGAGGAGGGCTCAAGGATGTGTGTGAAGAATGAATCATAATTCTACTGCTTTGGATGATCTCACTTAGTCTTCATAGCGATGCTGTGACGAAGGCAAAGCAGACTTGGCCTCTCTGAACATATAAATAAAAGCTCAGAGAAGTTTAGAAATTTCTAGTGTGTGGCTCTGCCCACAATACCTGAGACCTGGAGGGGCCAGGGTGGGCAGAGGACACTCAGGTGAAAGAGTTTAGGATAAGCAGAAAGTTGAAGTGGGTGCACACTGAGGGAGGTAAAGGCAGTAGGAGTTAAATGCAGGGGCTGGGGGAGGGGTCAGCAGGTGCACGTGTGTGATGGCTGGGTGGGGAAAGAGGGAAACAGATAATGGTCACCTGCCTCAGAAGAGGGTTTCATGTTGTGTCCTGGGCTGGGCCAATGAGAGCAGGGGTGGCTCAGGGTGAGGTGTCCTGTCACACTGGTACCAGCAGGTTCTGAAGCAACAGTAGAGTGCCCCCATATCTTGGCCCCCACCCAGATTTACTGGCACAGCCACTGCTGAGACAGGAAGCAGGATTTCCACACTTTTACCTTCATAAGGGAGCTGCTGACCAAATGTTATCCGTCAAGTACTCTCTCCTGTATGTCAGCCCCTTTGCCATCAAGTTCTCTTTTTCAAATGTCTTTCTGCCTCCTTTCTCAGCCCTTCATCATTTTGCCTTTTATTGTCTCCTTATATTTGGTCCCATGGTCTGGTCCAGGATTCCTCCGCAGCCATCCCTCGGATTTCTCTATCTTTCAGAGTTCCAGCCTCCCCACTCTCTTCTTTTACACCTGTTTGTTCCTGGACCTAGTTGTCCTCATTCTCTATTCCCCGCAGATTACTCCTTCAATGCCTCCCACTTTGGAGTAGCATTGTATATTTTTTGGTAAATATTTGACCTCCTCCCCACTCAACCGTCATTCCCAAAATAATGAAAACATCCTTATTCTGTCACCCCAATATCCTTTAAAGACTAACAGCCAGTTCTCCTTTTCTTACCTCCTAACTCTCCTGGACTCCTCTCAGGGGAAACCAAAGTGGCAGATGACTAGGATGGGGCTGAAAGTTGAGAAAGGAAGCCAAGTCCCTCTCTGGACCTTACTGAACACTGATTTCCTCCCCAGGGACCTTAGCTAAGAGCATTGGGACCGTCTTAGACCCCTGTAAGGACCCCACACGGATCATCTCCCCCAACGACCCTTGTCTCATTGGCAAGAGTGGCTCCAAAAGTTTCATCAGCCAAGGTGGCTCCAGCAGCCATGGTGGCTCCAGCGGCTCCAGCAGCTCCAGTTCCAGTGGTTCCAGCAGTGGTTCCAGCGGTGGCTCCAGTGGTTCTAGTATCTCCAGTGGTGGGTCCAGTGGATCCAGCGTCATCCAGGGTGGTTCTTCAGGATCTTCGGTATTTAAGCCAGGAACAGGGTATTCCCAGATCAGCTACTCCTCTGGATCTGGCTCCAGCCTACAAAGCTCATCCAGCTTCTCCCAGTCAGGAAGCAGCAGCTCTCAGTCAGGAGGCAGCAGGGAAGGACTACCGACTGGTGATTCTTCGTCAGGCTCTTTCCAGTATGGAGGAGGTTCTTCCTTTTCCCCAAGCTCTGGAATGTCCAGCAGCAGTGTCCAAAGCAGCAGCTCCAGTCTGCGTCCCTGTAGCTCAAACGTCCCTGACTCTCCCTGCAGTGGGGGGCCTGTCATATCACACTCTGGCTCCTACATCTCCAGCTCCCATTCTGTGTCAGGGGGACAGAGGCCTGTAGTGGTGGTGGTGGAACAGCATGGCTCTGGTGGTCCTGGAGGGGTTCAAGGTATCCCCTGTAGTAATAGTGGCCTTTCAGGCAAACCCTGTCCCCCTATCACTTCTGTACAGCAGTCCTATGGTGGCTATGAGGTGGTAGGTGGCTCCTCTAACAGTTACCTGGTCCCAGGCATGACCTACAGTGGGGGTAAAATCTACCCTGTGGGCTACTTCACCAAAGAAAACCCTATCAAGGGCTCTCCAGGGGTCCCTTCCTTTGCAGCTGGCCCCCCCATCTCTGAGGGCAAATACTTCTCCAGCAACCCCATCATTCCCAGCCACAGCTCTTCTAGTTCCAATATCTACCAGTCGGGAACTTCCCCAGTCATTGCATTCCAGCCTGTGGGCACTGGTGGTGTCCAGCTCTGTGGAGGCTCCACAGGCTCTAAGGGACCCTGCTCCCCCTCCGGTTCTAGAGTGCATATCAGTTCTAGCATTTCCAGCAGTTCCAGTTCATCCTACCACCCCTGTGGAAGTGCCACTCAGGGGCCCTGCTTCCCTCCAGGTACTGGCTCTATTGGTGGCAGCTCCGGCTCCCTATCCAGTGGCAAAATTGTCCTTCAGCCCTGTGGCAGCAAGTCCACCTCTTCTGGTCAGCCTTGCATTTCTGTTTCCTCCTCAACATTGAGTGGAGGTCCCAATGGCTCTCCTCAGCCCGATCCCTCTGCTGGTGCCAAGCCCTGTGGCCTCAGCAGCTCTGGAAGAGTGCCTTGTCGCTCCATCCGGGACATCCTGGCCCAAGTGAAGCCTCACAAGCCCCAGTTAGCTGATCCTGAAGTTTTCCTACCCCAGGGAGAATTACTTGACAAGCCATAAGTCAGTTTTTCATATGTGCATGCATGGGCACACACACATACACACACACATCATCTCCCAACCAGGAGATGTCCAGGGCCCCAGGCATGGGATTAGCTCATTTTTCCTCCTCCCTCCCAAAAGAGCTGCTCTACTTGCTCTATTATCCCATGTTTTAAATTCTCTTCTATCATCCCTTCTTTCTTCTGCTCACCCAAATGGTAGACTTCTTTCCTCATTCTCTCCTACTGCTTAAGATCCCATTTCACTGCAGTGCCCTACCTGCCAAATTACCACCCCTTAAAGTTTCCTTTGCTATTTCATTGAGATGGTCCATTGACTAATCTCACCTATTCAAGATCTTGACTGAGAAACTGAGAAATGCTCCTAGACCTCTGATGTCTGGACAAGTCATCCCTTCCTCCTACTTTGTTAAATAAAGCAAAGTCCAAACCATTACATAAAACAAAGATCACTTTTCACTGACCTCTCTTCACCATTTTTCAAACAACTTGCTATGCCACTGGGGTCTCACTCCCAATTCTACCCCAAATCTCCATCATTTAAGTTCACCACACCCTGTGAGATCCCTGTTTCCAACACACCCTTGCCTGTTAAGCTTCCCTCTCAGCCCCATTCCTGGCTGCCCCTTCTCTCAATGCCCAGATGCTTCCCTGTGATGAAGACACCAGGGCATCTGCAGAGATTGGAGCAGACTCCTACCTCTCTCTGGATCCTGGACACAACTCAATAAACTGTGTGAACGCAATGCAGACTTTTTGCCTTCTTGGAGTCTTGGGTCTCCTCTTAGGACCTGGATAGTACTCCTCCTATGTCTCTAGAGGTCCCTGTTTCACCCATTTCATTTCTAAGTTGACTCAGTATTTCTCTCATACCTTACACCTCCTCCTACAAAGAAGGAAAACAATAAATATTTGTTGAGCTGAAAGCAGAGGTTGCCTGGTCTCCCAGAGCCTTCTTCCCTCTCATTGATCCAGGAAATCTGTCCTCTTTCTACTTTCCATTCACACTGGGGTCCTCTCCTCCCCTCATATAAAGTCCTCATAATTTCCCTCCCCACCCAGTCTCCTTCTCCTCTACCATTAGTATGCCTTACCTTCTAGACACTGTCCTCTCTAGGAGTCCCCAGTGTCAATTTCCTGGTTTAAGACACCTCGGACCTTGAGAAGGCTGGGATGCAACAACCCAAACAAGATTCCTGGTGACTGAGTAGGAACTGGGGGAGGAGAGAGTAAGGCAGGATGGAAGCATGGCAGAGAGTATGCCAAGCATAGTGACTCACTGGCCTGTTTAACAAGATCCCAACCCATGGCAGAACAAAGTCAACAGTGTCTTCTCTGCCTCTAGACTCTTGCTGCCTCTGCTGTGGTTAGAAAGAGAGCTGTGGTTGCTACAGTTCCAGGGCGAGAGAGCAAAGCACTCCAGTGGAGAAGGGAAGGTAGCCTCCATGGGGAAAGTACAGAGCATGGTGAGGGCCATGTGACTTATAACCCTGAGGAAGCTCTCATATCCCAGGGAGGAGGTAGGGGTGGCGTTCCTGTAGAAAGGGCCTCACCTCAAGCATAGGCCACCTCAGAGTGTCTGCTTGGCTGCAAGCATCCTATCCTAAGATCTAACCTGATCCCTCCTATTGGGGTGGAATAAGCTGGTGATGAATTTAGAACTGCCAAAATTCTAAGACCAGACCAGCAGCAATACGTTACATTGACTAGAAATGAGCTGGGGCAGCTGAGCCAATCTTCAGGGTCAACTAGAGACAAAGCAGGGTTCCAAAACAGTCCTGTTTCTGTCTTCATTGTAGAGTCACCTTCTGTCTAGCATCTGGCCTTCTGACTGTAGACAAAGGCAGGTTTTAAGGCCCTCAGAAGCTCCATAGATGGGAACTGCAGGGAGAGACAGGCCATCAATGTTGGAATTTCTCTGATCTCTGGTATGGTACAGGTTAAAAGCTTAGACAAAATTGGTGGATATCACCCCAAAAGGCTACTGTGCTTTCCTCATTGGCCAGTTCTGCAGAGGAACTTGTCACTCTTCTAGTAGTTAGTCAGCAGGGGCTGGAGATGAGGATGAGCTTTAAAATCAGCTAATAACTAATGAATTTCCTCAGTCTGTCAGGGAAACCTATGTGGGAACTTTCTAGAAGAATTGAAGAGAACAAAGGCATTTAAACAGTTTTTTTGTTGTTGTTTTGGTGTTACTAGGGTTTGAATTCAGGGCCTCACACTTGCTAAGTAGGCATTCTACCACTTGAGCCACTTTCCAGCCCTTTTTGTGTTAGGTATTTCTTTTCTTTTTCCTCCCTTCCTTCCTTCCTTCCTTCCTTCCCTCCCTCCCTCCTTCCTTCCCTCCTTCCTTCCTTTCTTTCCCTCTTCTTCTTCTTCTTTTTTTTTTTTTTGGTTTGATTGCTTTTCTTTTTCTTTTTTTAGTTATTGCTGTGCTGGGCATACATTGTGATGTTTACCAAAGTTCTTACAATATATCATAGTTGAATTAACCCCCTCCATTATTCTCCTTTACCCCCCCCCCCGCCATATTCCTGGAATACTTTCAACAGGTCTTATTTTTCCATTTACATACATGTGTACACAATATTTGCCCCATATTCACCCTCCTACATCCTTGTGATGGGTATTTTCAAGATTTTCATGAACTATTTCATCTGGCTGGCTTCAAACCTTGATCCTTGTGATCTCTGCCTCCTGAATAGCTAGGATTCTAGGTGTGAGCCACTGGCGCCCAGCTTAAACAGATTTTATTATAAAAATTTCAAGCATAGTTGTATCAGTCCATTTTCTATTGTTTTACCAAACCCCCAAGGCTGGATAATGTGTAAGTACAGAGGTCTATTTATCTTACAGTTTTGAGGTTGGCACTGCTTGGCTCTGGTGAGCGCCCCTTTGGCTATATCACATCATGGCAGATGGCGTCATGGAAGAATTATATGTGAGAGGGAGAGATCACATGGCCAGACAGGATGCCAGAGGGGTTCATAGGACAGATTCACTCTTTTTATAACAACTCATTCTCATGGGCACTAACCACTCGAAGACACCAGCATTAATTACCCCAATGACCTAATTATCTCCCACCTACTTTTTTTTTTAGTTGACAGAAATTTATTAAAATTGGCTTAATCTTCTGTCCCAGAGCATTTATCCAGATGCCTTTCAAAGGTTAAGCTGCATGCTTCCTGCTGCCATACAAGCACTTGTAGTTTTCAGGATAACAATGAAAACCTGCATTTCTCCAACTATAAATTCTATGTTGTTCAAGCTGGACTTGAACTCATGATCCTCCTGCCTTTGCATCCCAAGCAGATAGGATTAACTGCAGGTGCATTCTACCACAAACAAGTTCAATCTTGAATTCTTATAAGCCTTTGCTTAAATCTTGGACTGTACATTGTTGTCAGGCTGACTCTTCATACTTTTATTTAAAAACAGAACACACTTCTTTTTATTTTTTTGGCAGCACTGAGATGAATTCAGGGCCTCATACTTGCTAGGTAGGTGCTCTTACTGCTTAAGCCACTCCATTAGCCCTTTTTAAAAAATTTTTATTTTATTCATATGTGTATACAAAGTTTGGGTCATTTCTCCCCCCTTCCCTCCACACCCTCTTTACCCCCCCCTTACCCCTCGCTACCAGGCAGAAACTATTTTGCCCTTATTTCTAATTTTGTTGAAGAGAGAGTATAAGCAATAATAGGAAGGAACAAGGGGTTTTGCTGGTTGAGATAAGGATAGCTATACAGGGCATTGACTCACATTGATTTCCTGTGCGTGGGTGTTACCTTCTAGGTTAATTCTTTTTGATCTAACCTTTTCTCTAGTTCCTGGTCCCCTTTTCCTATTGGCCTCAGTTGCTTTAAGGTATCTGCTTTAGTTTCTCTGCATTGAGGGCAACAAATGCTAGCTAAGTATTTAGGTGTCTTACCTATCCTCACCCCTCCCTTGAGTGTTCTCGCTTTATCATGTGATCAAAGTCCAATCCCCTTGTTATGTTTGCCCTTGATCTAATGTCTGCATATGAGGGAGAACATATGATTTTTGGTCTTTTAGGCTAGGCTAACCTCACAAATAATGATGTTCTCCAATTCCATCCATTTACCTGCAAATGATAACATTTCGTTCTTCTTCATGGCTGCATAAAATTCCATTGTGTATAAATACCACATTTTCTTAATCCATTCATCAGTAGTGGGACATCTTGGCTATTTCCATAACTTGGCTATTGTGAATAGTGCTGCAATAAACATGGGTGTGCAGGTGCCTCTGGAGTAACCTGTGTCACATTCTTTTGGGTATATCCCAAGAGTGGTATTGCTGGATCAAATGGTAGATCAATGTCTAGCTTTTTCAGTAGCCTCCAAATTTTTTTCCAGAGTGGTTGTACTAGTTTACATTCCCACAAGCAGTGTAAGAGGGTTCCTTTTTCCTCGAATCAAATTTTCCTCGAATCCTTACAAACACCTGTTGTTAGTGGTGTTGCTAATGATGGCTATTCTAACAGGGGTGAGGTGGAATCTTAGTGTGGTTTTAATTTGCATTTCCTTTATTGCTAGAGATGGTGAGCATTTTTTCATGTGTTTTTTGCCCATTTGAATTTCTTCTTTTGAGAAAGTTCTGTTTAGTTCACTTGAACTCATGATTTCAAGTGAAACATTTCTTTATTGGTTCATTAATTTTGGGAGAATTTAGTTTTTTGAGTTCCCTGTATATTCTGGTTATCAATCCTTTGTCTGATGTGTAGCTGGCAAATATTTTCTCCCACCCTGTGGGTGGTCTCTTCAGTTTAGAGACCATTTCTTTTGTTGAGCAGAAGCTTTTTAGTTTTATGAGGTCCCATTTATCTATGCTATCTCTTAGTTGCTGTGCTGCAGGGGTTCCACTGAGAAAGTGCTTGCCTATACCTATTAATTCCAGAGTATTTCCTACTCTTTCCTGTACCATCTTTAGAGTTTGGGGTCTGATATTAAGGTCCTTGATCCATTTTGAGTTAATACTGGTGTAGGGTGATATACATGGATCTAATTTCAGTTTTTTGCAGACTGCTAACCAGTTTTCCCAGCAGTTTTTGTTGAAGAGGCTGTCTTTTCTCCATCATATATTTTTAGCACCTTTCTCAAAGACAAGTTGGTTATAGTTGTGTGGCTTCATATCCAGGTCCTCTATTATGTTCCACTGGTCTTCATGTCTGTTTTTGTGCCAGTACAATGCTGTTTTTATTGTTATTGCCATTAGCCCTTTTTTATGATGAGTTTTTTAGAAATAAGGTCTTGTGAACTATTTGCCTAGGGCTGGCTTTGAACCAGAAGCCTCCTGATCTCTGCCTCTTGAGTACCTAGAATTACAGGCATGAGCCACTGGCACCCTGCACAAAACCCACTTTATAAAGGTCCTACCACTTCTCAATATTCCCACATTGAGGACCAAACTTCAGCACATGAACCTGTGGTAGACACCCTCAAACCAAGTACAAATGCAAATCATAGCAATATTTTAAAGTAGACAAATAATTAATGAGTTCCTATGTTCCCATCACCCCGCTGCAATAATGATCAAGTCATGGCCACTTGATAATAGCATTTAAATATCCTCCACTACTGTTCCTTGGAACCAGCCCCTCCCCTCAGTATTTCTTATGTTCTATGGATACATATGACCACCTGTGGTAAGCAGACTTGTGCCCCCACCCCAACACCATAAAAGATGTCACCATCTTAATCCCTAGAATTTATGAATATGTTAATAAATGGCAAAGAAAAATAAGGTTGCAGTTGGCAGTTGGAATTAAGGTTGTTACTCATCTGACCTTAAAGAAAGGGGATTATCCTAGATTAGTTGGGTGGGTCCAAAATAATCACAGCACCTTAAAATGTGGACATGGGAAGCTGAAGAGGAAGTCAGATGATATAATATATGAAGAACCTGCTGCTTTGGGCTTTGAAGATGGAGGAAGGGAAGCATGAACCAAGAAACACAGGTGGCCCCTGGAAGCTGGAAAATGAGAGGAAGCAGATTCTCCCCTAGAGCCTCCATAAAGGAATACAGCCCTGCTGACATCTCAGTTTTAACCAGGAACATCCATTTTGGAGTTTTGATCCCCCAAACTCATAGCATTAACAGGAAATTAACACAGCATGATCTTGTAAGGATAGGAATGAGGCCTATTTCCCTAGATAGGGTTTTATGTAGGGGCACCTCCTCAGATGGGGCCACTTCTGTATCTCAGAACCTCCTGCAGGTTAGGGCCAAGGTGAAGGAGATGTGGTGATGCCTGAGGGAGGGGTGCTGGGAGAGAATGATCTGGATCCTAAAGACAGGCATGAGAACCAAGTATTTCTATTGCTGAGAGAGGCAATGAAGACACTGAGAGCCAACAGTGAAGGTCCTTGTGGTCTTGGTATACAAACCAGGAAAAATCAAGGCTGGCAATCAGAGGTGAGCTGTGGACCAGGACACCTGGGTCAAGTAAGGGCAGAGAGCTCAAGAAAAAGAGCCAGGTAAGGAAACACCCAGCTTCCCCTGGGACATTCAAGTGGCACCTGTTGCCACAGACCAAATCAAGAATGAGGGTGGGACATGGAGTTCTATTGTCCCCACAACCACTGGCCCAGCCTGTTTCTGCTGCCCCCGCCCCACTAACAGGATAAAGCAGCTGTCCTGGGGCTGAGGGAGATGCTGGAGCTGAGCAGGATGCAGGGCTGTGTGGCAGGAAGCTGGGTTCCTCTGGGCCTGCTCCTGGTCTGTCTGCATCTCCCAGGTATGAGGTTGGAAAGGAGGACACTGGGTCCCATCACTCCCCAGGAGCTGGAATTAAGGGAAGGGGTAAAGGCAGGAGAGCACACATGGAGCAATGGTACATTTGAGACCCCTAGGGAAGTGAGATAGGTGTTGGGAAAGTGAAGGAACTTGTAGGGAAGGGAGGAGTTGGTGCCAAATATCTGAGTTCATCGGCCACTTTATCTTCCCTTTCTCTCAGGTCTCTTTACACGGAGCATCGGTTCAGTGGAGGAGAAAACTTCCCCAAATGTGGGGACCAACTTGCCTTTGCTGGGACAACTTTCCTTCACTGGTCCTGCCAACTCTGGACAACCTCAGGCCAAGCCAGACCCTGGGTCTAATGATGTGATGGGGGTTCTTCCGCCAGATGGCCCCCTACCTGCAAAAGGTTCTGGGATGCAGAGGTGGTCTCCATCCTGGGGGATGCCCCCTGCAGAGTCCTGGCCCTCTGACAATCCTTGGCAAATGATGGCTGCTATAGCTGAGGACTATCTGGCGGAAGCGCTGCCTGAAGCCCTGTCTTACCTTTCCAGTGCTGGCGCCATCCCTCTGGGTAGTGGTCCTTTGTCTGCAGCATCCTCTGCACATCCAGAGCAGTCCTTATCTGAGGCATCACGCCGCCAAGACTCAGAGCCTAGACGACTGCCCCATTCCAATCTGCTGGGAGCCCAGGGAGAAGTCATTGCCCAGCGGCCCTTCTGGTCTCTCATCCACAGACTTCTTCCTGGTCTCCCATGGGGGTCCCTGAATCCCAGTGTGTCCTGGGGAGGTGGCAGTCCTGGGACTGGGTGGGGAACAAGGCCCATGCCACACCCTTTGGGAATCTGGGGTATCAATAATCAATTCCCAGGTACCAGTTGGGGGAACATTAATAGGTACCCAGGAGGCAGCTGGGGGAATATTAATCGCTACCCAGGAGGCAGCTGGGGGAATATTAATCGCTACCCAGGAGGCAGCTGGGGGAACAATGGTCGCTATCCAGGTACTACCTGGGGAAATAGTGGCCTGCAGCCAGGTGTCAATAATCAATTTCCTCCTGGAGTTCTCCATCCTCCTACCTCTTCTTGGAACATCCCGCCTGGCTTCCCTAATCCTCGAAACCCTGGGTCACAGTGGAGTTAGAGCTCAGCAAAGGGAAACCCGAGGTTGGAAGTCAGAGAACAGAGTGCTGCTCCTGCCCCTCATCGTGTGAGCTGAATTGGGTTCAATCGGTGCATTTTGCAGAACTCTCCTGTCTTCGCTGCCTCCTCATTGTCCCATGCTCATCTCCAATAAAGCATGAGTTGTTCTTGAATTTGCTTATTTTCAGTGTCTTTATTTCTGGGCAGAAACTGAAGTGTGTTTGGTCCCTTCCCACTTTCTAGCTACCCTCAACATCTCTCTAGTGTTCTCTGAAGACCCTCTCTTTCTGTCCCCATCTTTGTGAAAGATCAAAGCCCAATTTTGAGGGTGAAGCCATATGGTCTCACCATGCTCAGGTGGGAAAGCTGGTCCTGGAATTTGAAAAAAGGTTGAGGGGTGGCAGGAAGAGTTGAGAGGGCACCTGTGGCAACAGGGAGGGAGGAGGAGGTCTGGGAAGCAGGCACCAGAGCCAGGTGGGAAAATACCCTTCCATTCATAGTGACCCGGAGAGCCAGAGAAGGTCCCATTGTCTCTGGTTATATTTTATTCCCCAGAAAGCCAAGTTTCTTGGAAGTAGAGGATGCTCTGATCTCCTCCCTTACACGCATCATTAAGTGCTTTATGCCGCAGAGAGCCACAGACTTTGAACATTTGCTGAATAAACAGCAGCCCTTGATAAAGGAAAAGAAAAGGGAGAAGGGAAAGGGAGAGGAAAAACCTCAGAGCCAATAATCTCACCTGCAACTGCATCTGATGCTTTTATTCCCACAGGATGACACAGGATCTTCCTTTGGTGGCACTGTTGTCTTTCCCATCTCCTTTAGGTTTTCCCATGAGCTTGGCATCTGCATATAGAAGTTGGAATGAGGGCAGTGGAGGGCCAGTCTACAAAAGTGCAGACAGAATTGAGCAGGCGTGCAGTAGAAGTCAACATTGGGTTTTGTGATTCTTTCCCCTCAGTGGCCAGGTGTACATACCCTCTGTACAGCCTCAGGTCACCCCAGGTGCGGGAGGAGGTAGGAGGAAGATAAACACCAGAGCCTGAGAGATGGGGAGTCACCTCCCTGAGTGGGACATGGGATTTCTCCGAGAAAGTTCTCCTGTCCCGGAATCTGCATTGTGAATTCCTTCTGGGACACTTCCCCATCAGTCTATCACCTCACCAACCACACCTTCCTCCTTACTGCCTCAACCTCTTCACCCAAGTCTTTTCACTTCTTGGACTTTTTTGGTTTTTCCTAGTCCTAGAATGGAGGCAGGGGCTGTTTTCATGTCCTGCTTCTTCCACAGGCCCAATGTCATTCTCTCAGGCTTAGGAGCTCATTTCTCTCTGTCCCTCTTTCTGGTTGCCCCCCTTGTTATGTTCACTCTTGTGTGTACTTTTAAATTCTGTGCCAATAATCTCCTATTTTATTCCCCAGACTCATTAGTGTAAGCACCACTGACCTAGTCCTTTCCCCCAAATGTAGTAGTGTAAACACCATTGAGGGCAAGCACTTTGTCTATCAGTTCCCTGTTGACTGCCAGCACCAAAACATTGTCTGGACCAGGGCACACACTCAGCAAACACTGAACCAGTGGGTGAATCCTCTCCCCACTCCAAGTGCTGTAGTTTGGATCTGGAATATCCTCCAAAGGCCTATGAGTTAAAGGTTGGTCCCAAGCATAACCTATTGGGAGGTAGTAGAAACTTTAAGGAGGGGGTTATAGTGGGAAGTCTTCAGGTTATTTTGGATGTGCTGGTGAATGGAATTATGGGACCCCAGCCTCTTCTTTCTCTTTGCTCTCTGGTATGCCATAAGATGAGTGGTTTGCTGCATACATACTTCTGTCATCATGTGCTACCTCACCACAGGCCCCAAAACAACAGGGTCAATTGAGCATGGTCTGGAACCTTCAAAACTGTGATCCCAAATAAACCTTTTGTCCTTATACGACGATTAATGTCACTAATGTATTAAGTCAACACAGTTTTCTCTCTTCTTCCTCTCTATTCCAGCTGCACACAGAGTCTAATCTGAAATCCTGCTGTGGCCTTCCCAGAGTCTCACTGACTTTGCTGTACAAATCTCACCAAGTCCTTCTCAGCTCATCCAGTGCTCTGCACAGTTCATCTTTGAGACTCATTTCTATCTGTGACAAAGGTATTTTAAGATTCGTTTTACCCATGGAGTAATGAGACTTGGATATGAAGCAACTCACACAAGGCTGAGTGACAGAAGCAGTGACTCTAACCTAATTTTTCTTTTTATGTGTCCAGGGAGTATTGATGTACAATATGCAATTAACAGCAATACCAAGTAACTTTTATTACATGTGTCAAATCCTGGACAAGGTGTTTTCACACATACCCAACGAAGCCTCTCAATAACTTCACCAGGGAGGCACTGTAGGGCACCTATACAGGGGAGATACTGAAGCCCAGAGAGGGCAGGGAGCTGGGGTTTCCATACAGGCAACACTGAGCCAAGGGCTGAAGTTCATTTGGCTGATGGCTCACAGAAGCTGGGCCTGCAACAATGGAGGGTCCTGGGGAGCTATCACATCAGATTTTTCTTTCTTTCTTTTTTTTTTTTTTAGTACTGGGATTTGAACTCAGGGGCCTAATGCTTGCAAGGCAGGTACTCTACCACTTGAGCCACTCCACCAGCCCAGAACGGTCTTTGATTTAAGGTTAATTGCTGCTTAAAGTAGGATGGGGTATCAGTAATCTGTGATATAATAAAGTCCTAATGTTTGCAATGGGGACTGCTGCTAGGTACTGATTCTTACCTTTTTATTGGTGAAAGTGGTGGCTGAACTGGCAGGAGTCATTTATCTTATCTGAGGAGGGAACATACGACAGTAGAAAGAGTGCTTGTCTAGAAATTGGAAGACTGGGGTTCTTCTGCCACACAGTCTTCCCTACCATGCCAGTTTAGGGAAGTCATTTACCCCTGTAAACCTTAGTTTTCTCATCTGTAAAATGGAATGAAAGAGCCAGGCTCTGGTGGCTCATGTCTGTAATCCTAGCTACTTGGGAGGCTGGAATTGAGAGGATTGAGGTTTGAGACCAGCCTGGTCAAATAGTTTTGGAGACCCCCATCTCCAAAATAACCACAGCAAAATGGAGGTGTGCTAAAGTGGCTGAGTGCCTAGTTTACAAGTGTGAAGCCCTGAGTTCAAACTCTAGGCCCATCAAAAGGACACTGAAGACATGGGTGGCCAAACTTCACAGAGAGGTGAAAATGAGATTCTTTGGCCCCCACAGTGTAATCACCACCTGAGTCCTTCCTCCAACAAGTCCAGGTGTACTTATCATTTGTATCACCTGAAGGCTAGCTGTTTGGTTTTGTCTCTCTAGATCAGACACCTGCATCTGTTTCTCTTATTATTCTGCTATGAAGATGCACTCTGTCTGCTTCTGTCTCCTTCTGCATTCAACTTTTTCTGTCAAGAAACTGGTGAAAACACTTCAGAGACACTCACCTTTGCTAACCCACATTCCCACTTGGGGAGAGCAAGCATGTGCACACAGGAGCCCTAGGATTATCTGTCAGACTCTAGAGAGTGTTATCCTGGTCATGGAGACCATCTAGTCTAGCAGTTAGGGTAGTAGGAGTATAACAAGAGCTTCATGTCCCATTTAAAAAAAAAAGTGTACTATGTCAGGGGTGAAGGCATGGCTCAAGTGGTAGAACACGTGCATACCTTATCTTCTTTATTGATTGTTTTGGTGTTACTGGGATTTGAACTCAGGGCCTCATACTTAATAGGCAGACACTCTACCAGGAGCCAGGATTCCAGCTTAAGGATCTGTTTAGCAAGTGTGAGGACCTTAGTTCAAACCCCACTACCACACACACACACACACACACACACACACACAAAGTGTACAATTCAAGGGATTTTAGTAAACTAATGGAATTGAGAACCATCACTGTAATCAATTTTAGAGCATTTTCATCAACCCCAAAAGAAAGTCCATACTCATTGGCACTCATTCCCTATTTCCTCCCAACCCTCCCCTGCCAAACAAGCCTATGCAAACAATAGCCTACTTTCTGTCTCTATAAATTTGTCTAGTCTGGACATTTCATGTAAGTAGAAACCTCTATTGCACTTTTGTTAGCATGATGTTTTCCAGGGTCATTCATGTTATAGCATATATCAGTACTTCATTTCTTTTTATTGTAAAAATTTTCTTTATTCCACTATATAGATATATCAAATTTTATTTTGCAATTTGAGGCTATTTCTATTTATAGGCTATTATGAATAATGCTTTTCTGAAGATTTGCATACAAGTTCTTGTGCAGATATATATTTTCATTTTTCTGAGATATTTACTAGGGATGGTATTGCTGAGTTATTTGAAAAATCCAGGTTCAAACTTTTGAGGAGCTGCCAGACTGTCTTCCAGAGTGGCTACGCCAGCTCACATTCCTATCTGCGTGTATGTGGGTTCCAATTTTTCCACATTCTTGCCAATGCTTGTTATTATCAGTGTTTTCTCTTTGTGTGTGTGGTGTTGGGGGCGTCAAACCTAGGGCCTTGTGCATGCTAGGCAAGCACTGTACCACTGAACTGCATCCCTGGCCCTTGTTTTTTTGAGACAGGGTCTCACTATGTAGCCTAAGCTGACCTCAAACTCGAGATCCTCCTGCCTCTGCTAGGATGATAGGTCTGTGCCACCACACCCAGCTTTTTTCTTTTTTTTTTTTGTGGTACTGGGGCTTGAACTCAGAGCCTTCCCCTTGAGCCACTCCACCAGCCCTTTTTTGTGATGGGTTTATCAAGATAGGGTCTCATGAACTATTTGCTCAGGCTGGCTTCGAACCATGATCCTCCTGATCTCTCACTATGTAGTAATCCTACATAGGATTCACTATGTAATCCTGAGTAGCTGGGATTACAGGAGTGTGCCACCGGTGCCCGGCCCACACCCAGCTTTTACCTTTTTTAATGTAGTTAGTCTAGTGGGTGTGAAATTGTATCTCATTGGGGAATAAAACTCTTTT